TCACTGCCTCAACAGCAATCCACTCCCTGTATCCTCTTTCACATGGAAAATCGAGTCTTTACAGAGCCTCCATTGCTTTTGGGGTTGTTTCATTTTAACCCTACTCCTTTTGCTTTTCTAGATGAGGAACAGGCACACCAGAAGTGGATACAGACCTCGGGTCACGGTTGCGAAATGCTGTTTGCTCAAGCCAACCCATCCCGACAGCCCAGAGTAAAGCAGGAAGAGCCCCAAGAGGCAGTTCCAGTCAAGAACCCACATCATGTGCAGACAAAACTCCATCTGCAGCAGAAGCATTTCGGGGAAAGCCTTCCAGGGGCAATCCCAACCACATGCCTGCTTGCCTGGTAATGACGCTGGATGTGAAATCTTCACACGCTCTTCACACATGTCTGGAGATGCAGACACAAGGGTTTGCCCTGGAATTGTTCTGCTTTGCTCTGCCAAGCATTCTGATCCACCTCAAGCTGCTCTGTTAAGCAGACACACCAAAAACACCCCCACGAGCAGGAGGGAAGAGCTTCCAGGGCTCTGTTTGAGCAAGATCGCTTTTGAGATGGGGAAAGCTCAGACCTGTTGAATAGGACAGATTCAGAGCAAAAGTTTTGAATCATCCCAGACTGGTTTGGGTTGGAAGGGAGCTTAAAGCTCATCCAGCTCCAACCCCGACCACGGGCAGGGACACCTTCCACTGGAGCAGCTTGCTCCAAGCCCCTGTGTCCAACCTGGCCTTGAACACTGCCAGGGATGGGGCAGCCACAGCTTCTCTGGGCACCCTGTGCCAGCGCCTCAGCACCCTCACAGGGAAGAGCTTCTGCCTCAGAGCTCATCTCAGTCTCCCCTCGGGCAGGTTCAAGCCATTCCCCTTGGCCTGTCCCTACATCCCTTGTCCCAAGCCCCTCTCCAGGTTTCCTGCAGCCCCTTCAGGCACTGGAGCTGCTCTAAGGTCTCCTCTTAAGGAGCTTTCTCTTGTCCAGGCTGACCCAGCCCAACTGTCTCAGCCTGCCTTCAGAGCATAGGTATTTCGTCACTTTGTTCAGTGTTCTCTCCCATGCCACCCAGCACACTTTGTCATGCTGCAGCTAATCCTGTTCTGGCCCATATTCCTTCTCTCCATCCCTGGAGCATCTTCTCCCGGGGGGGGGGGGGGGGGGGGGGAGGTTGCAGAGGTTTAAACAGCTGGTTCCACTGTGTTTGCTCTGGGAGTTTCACCTTTGTTCTGGGGCTCTGCTACATCTCCAAAAGCCCTCTTGAAAGCAACCCTCACAGAGAGTGTGAACTTCCTTGTGCAGCTCCCAGCCAAGAAGTAAATAGCAGGGTTGATGCTGCTGTTCACACAGGCCAAGGGCAGAGAGGCATCGAAGACAAAGACTGAAAAATCAAACAGCCTTAGCAAAAGCCAATACTCAAAATCAGCTGTGAAGAAGGGGAAGAAGACGACAGCAAGCAGGACCACAGCACAGAGCTTCCCTGGAGGATGCTGCCATGAACAGCACAAGACCCTGGCAAGCAGGGTTAAACCAGATAAAACCAGGGTAAGTAGTGATAAGAGGTAGCTGAGGATGAAGGCAATGAGTGCTGCAGGGCAGAAGAAGAGGGTCAGGGCGAGAAGAAAGGAGAGGGCCCAGAACAGGGCACACACAAGCACTGGCAAGCACTGGGAGCAGTGGCAGTGGGCCATGGGGAGGACAGACAGAGCTGCCACGGCACTGAAGGCTGTCAGGAGGAAGACGCTGGCGGTGAAAGAGAAGAGAATGGTGATGTTCAACACAGTTGTCACGTCCCGTGAGCCCAGCCTGTGGCAAAGGGTCTCCGGGCCATAAAGTACCCCAAGGGCAGTGGTGATGGAGAGGAGGAAGGTGAAGTCAGCCAAGGCCAGGTTGAGAACGTAGATGGTGATGGGGTTCCTGCGGACATGGGAAGTGAAGAACCAGAGCACAGCCGCGTTCCCCAGCAGCCCACAAAGGCAGATGAGCAGTGTGGCAGGGACTTTGCTCCAGTGACCAGGTTCCCAGTTGGTCCAGTTGTAGTGAGTGTCCCCATGCATCAAGAGCTGGTGATGCCAACTCCTGTTCCACACTGGCTGGCTCCAGCAAGCAGGGCTGGCTCCTTCCACGGCAGGGAGTGATGTGCTCATTGCAAAACCTCTGCTGCTTCTCCTTCCTCCTCACGCAGCTGCAGGGATGAGATGAAGCAGAGACACCTTAGAACCTCTATTGTCTCTCACAATAGGCTTTCAGATCTTTGCAGCCATGCCCCAGCTTCTACATGGAGGAGCACAGAGAGAAATGAGGGACAGGAGAGGTGGAAGACAGGATGTGGGGAGATGGGGTTGACATACCTGGCACAAAAAGCATGTATAGAGGGAGATGCCCCCTTCCCAGCTTTTAATGAAACAGATCTGGAGGAGAGAAATAATAAGATAAAAGGATTGTCCTTGGAGGTGCCTGTGCAGGTGGTTGGAAATAGATGATCCTTAAAGTCCCTTCCAACCTAAGCCGTGCTGGGATTCTATGTCAAAGATCAAGTTATTTACAGGGTGGATCTGATAGGGATTCTCAGGTATCTAATATTATAGCTGACGTTACCAAGCTGCTGGGTTCCTTCAGTGGGACACTCATTTCACTGCTCCCCTACCACCTTTTCCCACGGGTCTCCATACCCCACAGACCACCATTCCCCAGTATTGACCAACAGGTTCAACACCAGTGAGGGGAGGCGCTAAATTAAGCTGGAAAATACCACCCAGAAAGGTCTGACCTTGTCTCCTCTGGTAGCCTGGAGCAGACGCCCATCACCTCTGCTCACCACCTCCTGCCTCTGTGATGCTTCATGAGGTTTCCTGGAATTAGCACTTGGAAAGCTGGACCGAAGCCTTGGTGAGCCTGTGCAGCCTCCAGCAAGGGGTCGTTCTCAGCTCCTTTCACAAAGCAGCTTGCTGACAGCCAAGCAGGTCAAGGGCTCCTGTAAAGAGGGGGCTATTTCATTGTGTTTGACAGGACAGGAAATGACTAAAAGGACTCTCAGAAATCAGACCTATGGGAAGAGCTGATTGTTGATGGTGTCATGTTCCTCTTTTATTTCATTTTAAAGCAACCCCAGTCCCAAAATACTCCTCTCTTTGGACGGAATGAACTTTCCTCCTCCTCCCATTCCAGGCGGATATCTTTAGGACCCAGTGCTACAAGCTGGGAGTTGCAGCAAAACCTCTATTTCTGATTCAGATCTGGGTTTGAAACCCATACACCACAATTTCACTGCAATACTTGACCTTCAAATGCACCATTTCCAAGAGCACCAAGCGGCAAAGAAAAGATGGATCAGGATTCCAGGAAAATCTGGGGTTTCCTAAGGAGAGGTGAATCAGAGCTGCTCACTTGGTTTTAACCATCTAAAAGTTATGGGTTTCATCTGAGTTTCTTCTACAGTGCCTCAGACAGGCCCATGAAATTTGCAGAGAGCTGAAGGGAGGTGAGATGGCTCCTACCCAGGCTGACTGTGGTGCAGGACAAACGCAACAGCTCCTGTTGCATCTGGGAGCAGGGATGCTCCTGCTGGGAACTGGCACATGTGGGGACTGCAGGACCAAAGCCACCTCCTCTCTCGCTTGGTGATGCTGTGCTTGTGTCCCCAGCTGGAGAATCTCACATCTTGCAATGCCAATGCTTTCAAGTGCAAACAGGCCATGAGAAGAGAATCAGAGAAACAGAGAACCATGGAATGGTTTGTGCTGGAAGGGAGCTTAAAGCTCATCCAGCTCCAACCCCGGCCACAGGCAGGGACCCCTTCCACCAGAGCAGCTTGCTCCAAGCCCCTGTGTCCAACCTGGCCTTGAACACTGCCAGGGATGGGGCAGCCACAGCTTCTCTGGGCACCCTGTGCCAGCGCCTCAGCACCCTCCCAGGGAAGAGCTTCTGCCTCAGAGCTCATCTCAGTCTCCCCTCGGGCAGGTTCAAGCCATTCCCCTTGGCCTGTCCCTGCAGGCCCTTGTCCAAAGCCCCTTTCCAGGTTTCCTGTAGGTCAAGGTACATCAACATCTACCCATGTGCTCGAGAAAAGAGCAGAATCAGACAGGGTTTCTCAGCTTCTGCTTTTGAGGGTAACATCCTGAGAGCGATTTCCAGCACATGATTTACAGACACGGGCTGTTTGCTTGTTTTGGGGTCAGGCTTGTGTGTGACCAAAGGCACCTACAGCCTGTAAATGCTATGGCTCTGGTATCAGTTGTTTCTGTGTGCTGGGAAAGCCAATAACACCATCTGGCAGGCAGAGCTCAGTCTCCTCCAGCCATCACACACGAGAACCATCCTTCTCTGTCTGCCTCTTTTCTTGCCTCTGCCCTGGTGGTTTGCTCCATGGGCTTCTCCATCCACGGCACAGAACTGCACTTGCCAGCAGCCATCAGACACTGGCTGGCTGTCCATCCTCTGTCCAACCCAGAGTGCCCACCCCCAGCAGCACTTGCCTCTTTGCCTGTCCCTGCTCCCCCACCTAAACCCCCTTGGAAGGGTAGAGGTTTGCGTGTTGAGTGATGCTTCCAGCTCCATTAGCCAGGCTGAGATGGGTTTTCTCTGTCAGACTCTGCCACAGGAGGACAGAAAGACAGAGGGAGCTGAGAGCATCCTTTCTGTCCCTTCACCATCACCTCCTGTGGTCTGGAGGCTTTTGAGGATCAGAGTAGTGAGTGTTTGGTGCTTTAGTATCAGGCATCAAGGTCCCAGGAGCAGATAGAGGCAGGAAGAGTTGGGACTTCCTATGTGGGAAGCAGACAAGATGCAGATTGAGGCCCAGGAGCATGGCTGCGCTAACCCTGGAGAACAGGAAAATGGATAAGGCAGGACCTCCTGGACCACATCGTTTCAGCATGTATCATGCATGTACAACGCCTAATGGGCAGCGTGAGGGGATGGTCACATCCATGATTTTGAGAACAAGCTCCCCATGGAGCCATCAAGGAAGAAACCGCAGTCTCCGGTAAGTTACCCAAAAGACACCTTTATTTAAATAACTTAAAACCGAGTTTGAGCTGGGAACCAGCCCTGCCCATGGCCATGTCCTGAGGGACACCACTGTCCACTGCTGGTCCTGCTCACCCAGCCAGGCCATGGGGTGCTGTCATGGGCTGCAAAGGCAGGGCCACCCCTCTCCAGTCTCAGCCACAGGGGTTTAGGCAGCGATTTCCATCACAGGGGTCCCACCTCTTGGGAATCTGCCTTATCTTCAAAGACCCTCTGAAGAGCCACTCTGAAAGATCCCCTGAACGTGAACTTCCCATAGCTCCCAACCAGGACGTAAATAACGGGATTGATGCTGCTGTTAAAAGAGGCCAGCAAGAGGCAGACCTCAAAGACGAAGTTAATATACACAAAGAAGTTGAGGAAGATCTGGACACTGAGTGGGATGCCAAAGAGGAGGAAGAAGAGAACGGTGAGGAAGATGACCGCGTACAGCCTTCCTGGGTGGTGTTGCCAAGAGCTGCGTCTGAGCTTGACGAAGAGGATCACGTTGGAAAGAACCATAAAGGGAGTGAAAAGGCAGAAATTGAGGCAGCACAAGAGCCCGAGAACCGTCCAGCAGTGCTGGGAATGATCCGGGTCACACACGAAGTGCACCAGCCCCGCAAGCACACAGGAGAGGGCCCACAGCAGGATACACATTGCAGCAGAGAGGGGCTCCGGGCGGTGGCCTCGGCACCAGAAGGGCCAGAGGACACCCATACACCTCTCCACGCTGATGGCAGTGAGGAGGTAGAGGCTGGTGCCGTACGTGAGCAGGACCATGGAGTGAAACAGCTGCAGCACCCCCAGGAGCGCTGGCTGGGAGCAGCTGAGCATGGGCATGTGATAGACCACAAGGAAAGCCGATGTGAAGAGGAGAAAGCAGGAGTCGGCCACGGCCAGGTTCAGGAGGTAGGCGGTGAAGGGGCTCCTCCTGATGCGGAAGCCAAGGAGCCAGAGGATGGCTCCGTTCCCCACCAGCCCACACAGGCAGATGAGCAGGGTGATGCTCCCAGTGACGAGTTCGGGAATGTGCTCTGCAAAGCACCGGGTCCCGTTGTGTTCAGCCTCATAGACCAGGCTCTCTGTGGGTGCTGGGGACACCATATGCGAGTCATGGATCGTGCCGTTGGGATGTCGGTTCATCTTCCTCTTCTTGTGCTCGCCTGGGGAAAGGCAAGAGATGAAGGCACAATCAGTGGCTTTCAGGTCACCAGTACTTGGAATGTCCTCTGGTAATCCTGGTTTCTGCAATCCCTCACAAGCTACAGCATCTGCTAGCCAGAGAGCTTAAGAACTGAGCAGTGAGAGGAGAGTGGAGTGGAGTGGAGTGGAGTGGAGTGGAGTGGAGTGGAGTGGAGTGGAGTGGAGTGGAGTGGAGTGGGGAAGGGAAGGGAAGGGAAGGGAAGGGAAGGGAAGGGAAGGGGAAGAGAAGAGAAGAGAAGAGAAGAGAAGAGAAGAGAAGAGAAGAGAAGAGAAGAGAAGAGGAAGAGAAAAGAAGAGAAGGGGAAGAGAAGAGAAGGGGAAGGGAAGAGAAGAGAAGGGGAAGGGAAGAGAAGGGGAAGGGAAGAGAAGGGGAAGAGAAGAGAAGGGGAAGGGAGGAGAGGAGAGGAGAGGAGAGGAGAGGAGAGGAGAGGAGAGGAGAGGAGAGGAGAGGAGAGGAGAGGAGAGGAGAGGAGAGGAGAGGAGAGGAGAGGAGAGGAGAGGAGAGGAGAGGAGAGGAGAGGAGAGGAGAGGAGAAGAAAAATAGGGATAGGAGGGGAAAGCTTGGCCCAGGGGGACAGCAGACAGTCTTGGAAGAGGAGTGGAGGGAGGAACAAGAGGCATGTGGAGCCATTTGGCCTTGAAGGGCTGGAAACAGCTGAGGAGACAGATGGGAAGAATGAAGAGGACAGAGGCAGGATTGGAGGTGAGTCCCAGACCCCTCTCACCAGGCAGGGGAGGGCAGAATCCTTGCACAGCTTGGTTTCCAGAGCTGCAGTCCTCTGCGTCAGACTTGCACATGAAACCTTTCCACAGCTGCTATGCCAAAACCATCCCAGGTGAGATCTGGCCACCAGGAACAAGGTGATGAGGTTCCTCCAGCAGTTTGCGTGTGGGCTCTGGCACCACGGCTCTTCCTCAGCTCCAAATGGGGCCTGGGACCACGGCTTCTGCTCAGGGGTGGTCGCTGAAGGGATGCAGATGTGCCAGGGCTTGGGCATCACTTGTGAGAGCAGCGGAAGCAGATTGCCAAAGACCCACGCTCACAGGACGGGCGTTGCAGACCCATGGGCTGGTTGCTTCAAATGCTTCCTGTTTGCAAACCTGCTGTTGTGTTGTTTTCCTTCTTGTTCTCCTCTTCTGAGCCCATCAGCAACACCCCTGATGTGTCACAGTTCCCATCCATGTGAACGTGCACATTTCGCTGTCACAAAGAAGCCACCATCAGCCCCAGGGAGATGATGCTGGGTGTCACTTCCCTGTCTGCAAGAGCTGAGTGGACGCCTCCATCACCCCATGCCATGGGGCTGGGCAAGAGGGAAGCGGGATGGAGAGATGCAACCAGCCACTGCATCCCAGGGATGACACACACCACTGGACCTGCCCCTCACTGGTGCTGGCTGCTCCATGCCCCATCCTCACGTCTCACAGTGCTGAGGCTGCAGGGATGCAGCGTGAGTCCTGGGAGGAGAACTTTGCTCATTGTGTGGTCTCTGTCCTGCTTCCCTGTCTGCTGTGTCTATGCCCCATAGAATCATGGAACCGTTTGGGTTGAAGGGACCTTAAAGCTCCTTCAGCTCCAACCCCTGTCACGGGCAGGGACCCTTTCCACTGGAGCAGCTTGCTCCAAGCCCCTGTGTCCAACCTGGCCTTGAGCACTGCCAGGGATGGGGCAGCCACAGCTTCTCTGGGCACCCTGTGCCAGCGCCTCAGCACCCTCCCAGGGAAGAGCTTCTGCCTAAGAGCTCATCTCAGTCTCCCCTCGGGCAGGTTCAAGCCATTCCCCTTGGCCTGTCCCTACAGGCCCTTGTCCCAAGCCCCTCTCCAGCTTTCCTGCAGCCCCTTTAGGCACTGGAGCTGCTCTCAGGTCTCCCCTTCAGGAGCCTTCTCTTGTCCAGGCTGCCCCAGCCCAGCTCTCTCAGCCTGGCTCCAGAGCAGAGCTGCTCCAGCCCTTGCAACATCTTCATATTCCCCTTATGACCACTGTGATCCCAAACAAATATTGGAAGGAGTTAAAAAGAAGGCAGGAAGCAGAATTGGATATTGGTCTTTTACCATCTCTGCCGTATCCAGGGCCAGATGGAGGGAATGCCAAACCACAGGAACATATGTGTGAACTGAGCTTCATTAATCAGCATTCCTCCGCCTGCGGCTCACGCTGCGGATGGCCCAAGAGAAGGCCCTCACTTCCCGACAGGAACATCTTCTCCCAACCCACCCTGACATTATATTTATAAGAAATGAGAACAAAACAGGCTAGTAACAACAATATATGGCTGGTAACAAAGGGCAATCCTTCCACCCGGGGTTGTTTAACTAAAACAAGTGTCTTAGTGCTGAGCTTCCAAGTGTCCCAGTGAGCAGCGATGCCAAGGGAGCTCTGCAATCACCACTGCCATCTCCTCATCTCCCTCCCTTTGTCCCAGGTGTTCTTCCAACAACAAGTCCTTTGGACCAGCACGCTCCAAATTCCCCCTCGGCACGCTCCCAGCATCCCAGTGCAGCATCCTCTGGGAAGCCCTGCTGGAGGAATGGGCTGGGAATAGTCTCCCACTGTGGGGCAATGGGGAATACACCCTGTCAGCTCTGAACCTGACTTGCTGAGGGGCTTCTTCTTTCAGCCTCTGCAATCAAGCCAAAAGTAGCTTTTTTATGCTAAAGCAGTATAAGGAATAACTAAAAATGCCTTGCTCTGATAACAGGCTGTGTTAAATGCAACGCAGCAGCACTGCAGCTCCATCTCTCTGTTGCTCCCAAAGCTTCTGGTCAGCTGGAATTCCATGGGACAGAGGGAAAGCTTTCTTCATCCATCTACAGACAGTGCAAATTGGCACAGGCCTGCAGAGTGGTACCTCACAGCTTCTGCAGCTGCAGGATGTGCTTCACCATCCATCATCCTCCTCCTCCCAGGGAAGGGAGACCCATTGCAGCATCCACAGCCATGAGTGGTGTGACAGCATCCCAAACCCTCCCACTTCTAAGGTGTTTTTTTCCTCCTGAAACTTGCCCAGACATGGTTGTGCTTTTATTTTGGTGTTCCCCACAGCAGGAATCTTGCAGAGGTGACCATGAATAGGAGGTTTCAGTCACAAATCCTCTGGGTGCTGCTGATGCAGATGCACGTATGCATGCGCCTGTTTCCAGGATGGCCCCATCCATTCCACCCCAGGTCCAAAGCCCAGGAGTGCTGCAATAAAGATGCTCTTTCCCTTCTGACTCTGCAGCTGGGAAGTAGCCCCATCAGAGGCTAATGGGGGTGGCTGTGGGGACCATGTTGGGTTTGCCTGGCTCAGGAAGCTGGGATGAGGCTGGAGAGTTCGGATGGAGGATGCTGGAGGAGATGGGAGTGGGGAGGATCCTGCAGGTCCCACCAGCATTCCAGGGCTGGTGACTCAGTGATGGGCTCTGCCCATGCACGAAACATGGGTGATAGGGTCTGCTTTTCTCATACAGCCTCACTGAAGGAAGGGACTTCGATTTGAAGTGGTTTTGATATGAACCCTTGGAGACAACTCTGCCCTTAGCAAAAATGGTGAGACTGGAATTGCTAATGGGAAAAACCCAGGGTCTTCGGAAGTCAGTTTTAGGCACTAAAATGTTGTAGATGTATGGGTTTTAGATTATTTTTAGATGATTTTTTAGATGTTTTAGATTATTTTTTAGATTTTTTAGATGATTTTTTAGATTTTTTTAGATGTATTTTTAGGTGCATCTAAAATGTATGTTTTAGAGCAGCCAAAGGCTGGTATCAGCCAGGCAGCTGGGGCAGAAGCCAGAAGCACCTCCCAGTTGCAAGGGCACCGTGGAGTGGGAGATGCAGGGCGCTCCTTGGAGCAGTGAATCCCGTTGGAGAAGCTCTTCCACAGCTGAGGCAACCAAGAGCTTCATTCTACAACCCACACAGTTGTCTTTTTAATCATCACAGCAAGGTTGTTAATGATGCAAAACATATTGGCTACAGCAATAAACCCTTGGCAGGCTGTGCAGTGACTGCATGGAGCTCCTGGTCCCCTTGGACCTGCCCAAGGGACAACAAACACATCCAGCCCAGTAACTCCAAGGATGCTCTGCTCAGCCCTGTTTAACAACATCCAGGCTGCTCTAGTGGAAGGTGTCCCTGCCCAGGGCAGGGGGTTGGAACTGGATGAGCTTTAAGGTCCCTTCAGACACAAACCAGTCCGTGATTCCATGAAATCTGCTCTCCAACAGCTTTCACGGCATTACTGAGGAGCAGGAGCAATAATTAATCTGGGCTATAGGTGTTCATATTGTTGTAAGCTGACTGAAAAGCAGCTGTGCGTTGTCCTCCAGCTGGGCTGGTAGAGCCTGCATTAGACTGGTCAGAAACACAAAGTCTTGGCTCTGGTTTGAAGGTGTGTTCCCTTGGGCCCAGATGAAGCTTTGGCGATGATTCTCATGCTTTTACCAGAAGGGGAGTTGCTTCTGAGAAGCATCCAGCTGCTCTGCCAGCACCACTAGCATCAGCAGTGTCACCAGCATCACCAGCACCGAAAGCATCACCGGCATCATCAGTATCACCAGAACCAAAAGCACCAGCAGTGTCACCAGCATCAGCAGCATCACCAGTACCAAAAGCACCAGCAGTGTCACCAGCATCAGCAACATCACCAGTACCAAAAGCACCAGCAGTGTCACCAGCATCAGCAACATCACCAGTACCAAAAGTGACACCAGTGTCACCAGCATCACCAGCATCACACTCTACTGCTGGATGGGTGACGACCCCCAGTCTTGGGGAGCCCTGCAACAGGCAGAGGAGGAATGAGGAATGGCAGGAGCCTGCCAGGACAGGGAGGACAGGCAGGGAGCAAGTGCTTGTCCTGAGGGGGAGTGTTTCTAATCAGGAGGAAATGAGGAGCCATTCACAAAGTCCTGGTTGTGGAGCTGCTGGCAAAAGTCACTTCCTTTGTGGTGAAAAAAAACCCGAGATAAATAAGAACGAGGAAGGCCAGCTCTGACGTAGCCGCAGTTACAAAACCATTCCCAGCTCCCCCACGACCCCACTGTGGCTGGGGATCTGCCGAGGGGCACACCGGGACCAGGGGACGTTATTCTATATGCTGCTGCCCCGGGAGGACCCACTTCAGGGGATGGATCCTGAGGATGAGATGCCAAGACACCGGCCTTGATCTGATGGAAAGCCCCTGCCTGCTGCTTCTCCAAAGCTAACAGTTAAGTGCAATCTTTCTCCATCCCTACCTCACCTTCCTTTCCTCCAGCATCCACTGCCACCAGCCATGTTCATCCCACCCTCTCCTGGAGACTGGCACTGCTCTCCCCAAGTCCTGTCCCTGCTGTTTGGGCTTTCCTTCTGCATCTCCTGCTGAACCTTCCTCTTCGTCCCATCTCCCTCTCCTGTTGCAAAATATCCACCCTTCCACTCCCCAGCACATCCCATGTGCCCTCCACTGATGAATTCCCGGCGCAGGGAGCTCCTGATGGACCACACAGTTCAGCCCCAGCTCCTTCAACCCATTAAGTCTCAGGGGGGACCTGATGGCTGCCTCCAACTGCCTGCCAGGAGGATGGAGCCAGGAGGGGCTGGGCTCTGCTCCCAAGGAACAAGGGATGGGACAAGAGGAAACGGCCTCAAGCTGCACCAGGGCAGGTTTAGATGGAGCTGAGGAACAATTCCTGCCCCAGAGGGTGCTCAGGCATTGGAACAGGTTGCTCAGGGCAGGGCTGCAGGCACCGGCCCTGCAAGTGTGCACAAACCCTATAGAGAAGGCCCTCAGTGCCATGGGTCAGGAGTGGCCTTGGCAGGGCTGGGGTTGATGATCTTAAAGGTCTTTTCCAGCCTGGTTGATTCCATGATTCTCTGATTAACACTCCATCCATTCTGACTGCAGCCAGGGACCACGTCCCACCTCCTGCCCAGCATCAATCCATGGAGGCGAATGCCATATCCCTACCTCCTGCACCCCCTGTGCTGGAGACTGATGGAGAGAACCCATGCAGGATAGACATCACCGACGTGGCTATGGACACTGTCACGCTGCTCATCTGCCTCTGTGGGCTGGTGGGGAATGGGGCTGTGCTCTGGTTCCTCGGCTTCCGCATCAGCAGGAACCCAATCACCACCTACATCCTCAACCTGGCCATGGCCAACTTCACCTTCCTCCTCTTCATGGTCACCTCAGTCCTCCTCTACATGATGGAGAACATCTTCTGCTTCAGTTTTGAGACCTTAACATATCAGAGGCCACTTTTCCTGCTCTCGCTGTTGTCCTACAACATGGGCCTGTATCTCCTGATGGCCATCAGCATCGAGAGGTGCTCGTCCATCCTCTGTCCGCTCTGGTACCGCTGCCACCGCCCTCAGCGCTTGTCAGCCCTGGTGTGTGTCCTGCTCTGGGCCCTCTCCATCACTGTCATTGCTGCAGTGACATCTCTGTGCCTCTTGCATGAGGATGATCACTGCCGCGTGGCTCTCATCTCCATGTACGTCCTCAACTTCCTCATCTTTGCCCCACCCATGGTCGCTTCCAATGTGATCCTCTTCATCAAGGTCCAGTGTGGCTCCCAGCAGCGCCAACCCAAGCGGCTCTACATCGTTATCTTCCTCACCGTCCTCTTCTTTCTCATCTTCGGGGTTCCCCTCAGCGTCTGGAACTTCCTGCTGCAGTTTGGCTTCGCGGCTGTGCCTTCCCAGGCTGTTTTCCTGCTCGCCTGCATCAACAGCAGCATCAACCCCTTCATCTACTTCCTGGTGGGGAGCTGCCGGAGGCGCTGCTCCGTGGTGCCCCTGCAGGTCGCCTTCCGGAGGGTCTTTGGGGAGCCAGAAGACAACATTGACTTCAGCAGGGACACAACAATGAACACGCTGGCCTCCGCCTATTGAAGCCATCCCAGCACCCTGCTTTGGGCCCCTGGGACAGTAGCTGAGGCTTTCCTAGAGCAACCAGACTGATAGATGTCGGCAGCATGCCATCGTGCAGAAGAGGAGGGCATCACCAAGGTCAGTGTGTGGAGGGATGCTCTGCAGGGTGCATCCCTTTCCTCCTCCCTTCCATCACTTTCATGGCAAATGCGCCCTAGAGGACCATGTTCCTGAAAATCCCCTGCTTTTTGGGATGAGCCCTGCCTTCGGGTAACTCTGACTCATGTACTTTGTGGGGGTAGAAACTGTTTGGTGTCCTAAGTGCATCTCCCCATCCTACCTTCACCACGGGGGGTACCAATGCTCCTCACCATGCTCTGCTGAGGTCCTACCACCCTCCGTCCCGCTGGTACCTCCCTTCTGCCGGTGCCCCCCTGTGCCTGACACCAATAAACAGCATCCTGCCTTCTCCGGGCTCCTGCTGCCGGCCGGATGAGGGTAGAGGCGGGGGGGGGAATGTGCGCACACGCCTTGTGATCACCAGGGCAAAAATGACACCAACTGCCCACAAGTGGGACTGCAGGAGCACAGCTGGAGCGGGAAGGAGGGGCGCAGGGGTTTGGTGGTGCCCTCGGGCTGTTTTATTACTGTCACTGCAAATATCTCCTCAAATATATATAGATACATATTTATTTTGTGAGCTAAGACTCTTCCTTATGGAATACTTCCTCTCCCATGCCCTCGGCAGGCTGGAGCTTTCCTCCAGATCAGGCCAGCAAAGGGAAGGGTAGTCTGTGGTCCTCAGCCCAGCCACCACCCTCCAGGAGCAGGGTGCCACATCTGTTGGTCACTATGGGCTCCAGGGAGTATCACCCACCTCCCTGCGGCTTTGCCTCCGCTAAGGCTCCATCACAGTGATGGGAGAGGTGTGGGTGTGCAGAGTGATGGTGCTGGAGCTGGAACAAGCCGGGGCTCGGTTTCCCCCAGTGCTGTCACGGAGGCAGGAGGAAGGGATGTTGCCCACCCTGGGGCTCCCCTGCAGACCTGCCCGGTGTAGCCTCATCCCACGCTGTCCCAATGTCATATTTGAGGCTGGTCCCTCCTGTCCTGATGAGCAGGGAACCCCATCATCTCCTGGACACATAGCCAGGTCCCCAGATCCCATAGCTTCCCACCAGTCCCCCCCCACATCCCACCAGCCCCACACACACATCCCACCAGCGCCCCCCCATCCCACCAGAGCCCCCCCATCCCACACCTTTCCATCATCCTTCCCAAGCCCCACATTTTCCCACCATCCTCCCCAAATCCCATCCCTCCGTGCACCCCACCACCACCACCATCTCCCGCTCCCCCCTGGCCCCGGATCGTCCCCTGCACTCCGGTGTCCCCCCATGGGCTGCTTTCCCCGGGCCACCCCACGGGGTTTGGGGAAGCCTGTTTCCGAGGTACGCCCCACAAAGAGAGTTGTCCCCCCACCCCGGGCTCTCCCTCCCGGTACCCGCAGAGGAACGAGAGGCGGCGATGGAGCCAGCGGCGTTTATTGGGGAGGAGCAGGGCCGGGAGCGGAGGCAGCGCCCGCTGCAGCCCCGCCGAGCCCCGGGGCCGCTTGCCCCGGGCTGGATCGCGCCCGTCCCGTCGCTGGAGGGCAGCAGAGTCCGGCGGGACGCGGCCTTGGAGCGGGAGCGGGAGGGAGGGGACCGGGATGGGATGGGAATGGGGATAGGGATAGGGTAGGAATGCGGATAGGAATGAAATGGGATGGGGATGGAATAGGAATGGGGATAGGGATGAGAGAGGGTAGGGATTGGGTGGGAATGGGGATGGGGTGTGGACAAGGATGGGATGGGATGAGAATGGGGATGGAATGAGTTTAGGATAGGAATATGGATGGGGATGGAATAGGGATGTGAGAATGGGGATGGGATGAGTTCAGGATAGGAATATGGATGGGGATGGAATAGGGATGTGAGAATGGGGATGGAATGAGTTTAGGATAGGAATATGGATGGGGATGGAATAGGGATGTGAGAATGGGATAGGAATGGGATGAGGCTGGGATAGGAATGTGGATGGGAGTGGCATGGGGATGGAGTGAGATTAAAGGTGGGATAGGAATGGGTTTGGGGATGGGGATGGGATAGGGATGAGATGTGAGTGAGTATGGGGTGGGAATGAGGATGGAGATAGGATAGGGGTGTGATGTGGGTGAGGATGGGAGGGAGTGGGGATAGCATGAGGCTGGAATAGGAATATGGATGGAGGTGGCATGGGGATGGGATGAAAATAAAGGAGGGACTGTGATGGAAATGGAATAGGAATGGGGTTAGGGATGGGAATGGCAATGAGAACAAGGATGGAATAGGGACGTAGCAGGCATAACATGGGACAGTCTATGGATGGGGTTGGGCATGGGATGAGGGTGGGTACAGGGGTACCATGGGATGGGCTGGAGACAGGACTGGGACCAGGGATGGGCTGCATCGCAACACTACAGGAAGGCAGCCTGCAGGCACAGCCAGGACCAAGGGTCAGCACTGAGCATGAAGCGGGGGGGTCTCAACACAGCCGGCACAAGCACAGTGGCTCTTAAGGGGAGATCGTGGTGATCCCCGCCTCCTCGAAGACCCTCCGGAAGGCGACCTGCAGGGGCACCACGGAGCAGCGCCTCCGGCAGCTCCCCACCAGGAAGTAGATGAAGGGGTTGATGCTGCTGTTGATGCAGGCGAGCAGGAAAACAGCCTGGGAAGGCACAGCCGCGAAGCCAAACTGCAGCAGGAAGTTCCAGACGCTGAGGGGAACCCCGAAGATGAGAAAGAAGAGGACGGTGAGGAAGATAACGATGTAGAGCCGCTTGGGTTGGCGCTGCTGGGAGCCACACTGGACCTTGATGAAGAGGATCACATTGGAAGCGACCATGGGTGGGGCAAAGATGAGGAAGTTGAGGACGTACATGGAGATGAGAGCCACGCGGCAGTGATCATCCTCATGCAAGAGGCACAGAGATGTCACTGCAGCAATGACAGTGATGGAGAGGGCCCAGAGCAGGACACACACCAGGGCTGACAAGCGCTGAGGGCGGTGGCAGCGGTACCAGAGCGGACAGAGGATGGACGAGCACCTCTCGATGCTGATGGCCATCAGGAGATACAGGCCCATGTTGTAGGACAACAGCGAGAGCAGGAAAAGTGGCCTCTGGTACACCAGAGCCACCACAGTGGAGCAGAAGATGTTCTCCATCATGTAGAGAAGGACTGAGGTGACCATGAAGAGGAGGAAGGTGAAGTCGGCCACAGCCAGGTTGAGGATGTAGGTGGTGATTGGGTTCCTGCTGATGCAGAAGCCAAGGAGCCAGAGCACAGCCCCATTCCCCACCAGCCCACAGAGGCAGATGAGCAGCGTGACAGTGTCCATAGCCACATCGGTGATGTCTATCCTGCATGGGTTCTCTCCATCAGTCTCCAGCACGGGTGATGGGGATGGGAATGTCTGGTTCAGCTCCATGGCAGGAGGTGGGATGTGATTCCTGGCTGTGGTCAGAGCAGATGGGGAGTTAATGGGATGTGTCAGGATGAGGGGTCCAGTGAGGTGGCTCAGAAGGGCTGGGGACAGGGGGGTGACAGGAGGGCTGGGGAGGTGTTACCCACTAATGATGGGATGGGGGTCACTGTGGAGGATGGAGGGGATCCAGGCACCCTGAGGGTGGATGAGAATGGGAGCAGGGAAAGGCTGGGAGCTCCAGGGAGACGCGAGCATCTCTGGTCCCATCCCTACCTTTCCACGGGCTGACTGCCCGGGCGTCCAAGCAGTTCCTTCCCTCTGGTGCTCCTTGCCACAGTCTTCTCCGATGAGGAGAACCAGGGTCTCCACGTCCTCCTCGCCTCTCCTCCGAACAGAGCTGCTCTTTGGGGCGTTTCTGCAGGATCATGGGTCAGGTGGTGAGGGAGCACCCCCAGGCTGCATCACCAGGCCTCTGCTCCTGTGAAATTCCTGTTGGGCTTGCGGGAAAGCAAATGTTCTGCCCAAAGCAATGCTTTCTCCAGGGGAATGCCCCAGAGGACGGATGCTGCAGCGGCTACATCTTGCTGTGAAAGAACCGGGATGCTTTTAGGATTCAACCTCATTTCTCATTATAGACTGGTAATTGCCATCTTCCTGATTGTTTCGTTGTGCTCCAGTCTCTTCCGCACACCCTGCCCTGATGCTGGCATCCTTCGGAGATTGTTCATTACTGTCTCCATTTCCCTCCCAGCTTTCCTTCACGGGAATCGCCACTGACTCTGCTCCATCTTTGTTGTGCATCAGGTCTGGGTGGGAATTTGGTGTTCAAGCCTTTGGTTCAGCCTTGTTCGCACTGGTCTGGGGGATACAGGCACCTCCTGGACCTGGGTACCTGTTGACCCACCAAGAGAGATGGGGGGCAGGCAGCAGGAGAGCAGGAGAAGAACCAGCCATGGTGCTGGTAGGAACAGTCCCCCTGTTCCTCCAGGCACCCCTATACCACTCACTCCCAACAGGACCATGGGGTGGCAAAGGATGTCCAAGACCATGTCCCCACATCCCAGCCGGGATATGAGAGGCATGGTGTCTCCTTCCCTTGCAGAGCAGTACCGGCTGCTCTCTGTGTCCCCTAGAGCTGCTGGGTGCCCCATGTTGCTGGGGGGGCGGGACACAGACAGCCAGTGGGCATAGCACCACCTCCCAGCACTGGGTGCCCTCTGCTCCCCCGGTAAGGGCAGAAAGATGCTTCTGTGGCTCAATAAGCTGGTAATTGCTGCTGGGAGTGCACCCAGCGCACCCACAGTGGGGCTGGGGGAGCAGCAGGAGGGGGCACCACCAAGCACCACCCCATGTAGAATCATAGAACCATGGAATGATTTGTGTTGGAAGGGAGCTTAAAGCTCATTCAGCTCCAACCCCAACCCCTTCCACTGGAGCAGCTTGCTCCAAGCCCCTGTGTCCAACCTGGCCTTGAACACTGCCAGGGATGGGGCAGCCACAGCTTCTCTGGGCACCCTGTGCCAGCGCCTCAGCACCCTCCCAGGGAAGAGCTTCTGCCTAAGAGCTCATCTGAGTCTCCCCTCGGGCAGGTTCAAGCCGTTCCCCTTGGCCTGTCCCTACATCCCTTGTCCCAAGCCCCTCTCCAGCTTTCCTGCAGCCCCTTTAGGCACTGGAGCTGCTCTCAGGTCTCCCCTTCAGGAGCCTTCTCTTCCCCAGGCTGCCCCAGCCCAGCTCTCTCAGCCTGGCTCCAGAGCAGAGCTGCTCCAGCCCTCGCAGCATCTCCGTGCCCTCCGCTGGACTCCAGCAGCTCCACGTCCTTACGTCGAGGACACCAGAACTGCCCCCAGCGCTCCAAGCACCTGCAGGGCCGGGCAGGGCCAGGCACAGCACGTCAGCAGCGGGTGCGCCGCAGAACGGGTGGCAGCGGGAGCTGTGAGTCAGCCCCGCACCTCCCTCCGCCCTGGACTTTGCCTCCTGTGGATGCTCCGGGCAATAAAACCCCCTCCAGGGAGGAGGGAAACGGGGTGGCAGGGAGAGCCCCCCCCCCGCTGCAGGCACCCGTACGTGTGTGAGCGCCCTGCCTGCGGCGCTGCCCTGCCCCGCACACCACGGCCCCGGCCCCGGCACCGAGCGGAGCCGCGGGCGGGCCGACGGGAGGGTGGCGGCCGCGCCCCGGTCCGGGCGGGTGCCTCGCACCGCCCCGTCCGCATCCCGGTCCCCGCCGAGGCCAGGCTGGATCCGCCGGCCCCCATGCATCGGGAAGGGGCCCCCGCGGCCGAGGTGAAGGTGGTGGTGGTGGGGGACGGGGGCTGCGGGAAGACGTCTCTGCTGGTGGCGTTCGCCAGGGGCGACTTCCCAAAGGTACCGCATGCCGCGTCCCGGGGGAGCTCAGAGGGGTGCGATGTGGGCATGGGGGGGGAGTCGTGGTCCTGCAAGGGACGGGGGAGGCTCCTGGGAGCGGTGGCGTGGGAGAAGGGGGGCGGGATGGGGCGGGATGGGCACAGTGGGGCTGTTTGCAGGGCGTATAACTGGGGGTGCTGGGGCAGAGGGTGGCCCAGCATGGGGCTGATGGGAGCCTGATGAGGCTGATGAAGAAAGGCTCTTCATCAGGGACTGTAGCGACAGGACAAGGGGTGATGGTTTCAAACTGAACAGGGGAAGTTCAGGTTGGAGATGAGGAAGAAGTGCTTTACTGTGAGGGTGCTGAGGCGCTGGCACAGGGTGCCCAGAGAAGCTGTGGCTGCCCCATCCCTGGCAGTGTTCAAGGCCAGGTTGGACACAGGGGCTTGGAGCAACCTGCTCCAGTGGAAGGGGTCCCTGCCTGTGGCAGGGGTTGGAGCTGGATGGGCTTTAAGCTCGCTTCCACCATTCCATGTTTCTATGATGTTATGATGGACACCTCTGCCTCACCTGGGCAGGTTCATGGGATAGGGAGACGGGTCTGTCCTGTGGTCACGACCCCATTCTTTCCCCACATCCCATTTCCCTCTCCTGAGGCTGGGTATATCCTCGTGCCCTGTCTCATGCACACATCTCCTGTTGGGGGTCCCCTCTGCCTGTGGACAGGCAGGATTTGTCTCATGCCCTTCCTGTCCCCTGCCAGGTCTATGTCCCCACTGTATTCGAGAAGTACACAGCCTCCCTCCAGGTTGCTGGCAAGCCTGTGAAGATCCACCTCTGGGACACTGCAGGTAGGACAGCAGGGGATCCCAGCGTATTTATGGGGTTTGGGGTGTCATGATTCAGACGGGTGTCCCTATGCATTGACAACAGGAGATGGGAGGTTAACCTGGGGGGGGGGGGACCCAGCCCATGAAGGAACTGGTGCATAAAAGCTTCCTCCCTGTGAGGGTGCTGAGGTGCTGGCACAGGGCGCGCAGAGAAGCTGCGGCTGCCCCATCCCTGGCAGTGTTCAAGGCCAGGTTGGACACAGGGGCTTGGAGAACACTGCTCTAGTGGAAGGTGTCCCTGCCCGTTGGGACTGGATGAGCTTGAAGTTCCTTTCTAACCCAAACCATTCCATGATTCCATGATCTCCACCCGGCAGGACAGGAAGACTATGACCGGCTTCGCCCATTGTCCTACTCGGATGCCAATGTTGTCCTCATCTGCTTTGACGTCACAGACCCCAGCAGCTACAACAACATCCTAACAAAGGTAACACATCCCCAGGGTGGCTTCTCCCACCCCACTCATCCTCCCTAGGAGAGGTGGCACTTCCCCATCGCTGGGCTCCATGAGTCCTCTCTCCATAGTGGTACCCAGAGGTGAACCACTTCTGCAAGAGCATCCCGGTGCTGCTGGTGGGCTGCAAGACCGACCTGCGGCGAGACCATGCCGTGCTGCGCAAGCTGCAGGAGGGGCGCTTGGAGCCCGTGTCCCACCACCAGGTGAGTGGTACCCCAGGATGCCCCCCAGTATGAGGGTGTGGGTGAACTGGGGCCATGTGGGGTGGGGGGGGTCTGACCCTGCTGCTCCCCACAGGGAGAGGCCATGGCCCGGCAGGTCCATGCCGTGTCCTACCTGGAGTGCTCGGCCAGGTACCAGGAGAACATCAGCAGCATCTTCACAGAGGCCTGCAGGGCTGCCCTCAGTGCTGCCCGCCGCAGCCAGCGCAGGAGGAGACCCAAGAGGGGCTGCGTGCTCTGCTGAGCCCCACACCATGGCTACGGGGAACCAGCGTGACCCAGCACCTCGGCTCCCAGCTGCTGCTGGGGATCATCAGCCACCACCGGCCCTCCGCTGCTACCGCTGTCACCCTGCAATGGGTCTGGGTGCAGAGAACTGATTTGGGGGGGGGGGGGCGTTCCTGCTGGCTGGCCAGTGAGGGAGGGGTGCCATGGGGTGAACGCGGTGCAGTGCCGACATTAAAGATCAACACAGAGCAGCGTGGCATGGTCCCTGTGGGCAGGAGCGGCCCTGGCTCCCTGATGGGGAGACGGGTCCCCTGTGGCCCCAGAGCCACTGGGAATGGGACCCTTGAGTTTGGATGGGGTGTGTCTATGTGTGTACATAGAGATGTGTGCATGTGTGTACATAGGTGTGTGTGTGCGGTGTGTACATAGATGTGTATGTGTGTTCTCTGTGTGCATAGGTGTGTATGTGTGTGCTGTGTGTACATAGATGTGTATGTGTGTTCTCTGTGTGCATAGGTGTGTATGTGTGTGCTGTGTGTACATAGGTGTGTATGTGTGTTCTCTGTGTGCATAGGCGTGTATGTGTGTGCTGTGTGTACATAGATGTGTATGTGTGTTCTCTGTGTGCATAGGTGTGTATGTGTGTGCTGTGTGTACATAGGTGTGTATGTGTGTTCTTTGTGTACATAGGTGTGTATGTGTGTGCTGTGTTTACATAGGTGTGTATGTGTGTGCTGTGTGTACATAGGTGTGTATGTGTGTGCTGTGTGTACATAGGTGTGTATGTGTGTGCTGTGTGTACATAGGTGTGTATGTGTGTGCTGTGTTTACATAGGTGTGTATGTGTGTTCTCTGTGTAAATAGGTGTGTATGTGCGTGCTGTGTGTACATAGGTGTGTATGTGTGTGCTGTGTTTACATAGGTGTGTATGTGTGTGCTGTGTGTACATAGGTGTGTATGTGTGTTCTCTGTGTGCATAGGTGTGTATGTGTGTGCTGTGTTTACATAGGTGTGTATGTGTGTTCTCTGTGTAAATAGGTGTGTATGTGTGTGCTGTGTGTACATAGGTGTGTATGTGCGTGCTGTGTGTACATAGGTGTGTATGTGTGTGCTGTATTTACATAGGTTTGTATGTGTGTGCTGTGTGTACATAGGTGTGTATGTGTGTGCTGTGTGTACATAGGTGTGTATGTGTGTGCTGTGTGTACATAGGTGTGTATGTGTGTGCTGTGTGTACATAGGTGTGTATGTGTGTGCTGTGTGTACATAGGTGTGTATGTGTGTTCTCTGTGTACATAGGTGTGTATGTGCGTGCTGTGTGTACATAGGTGTGTATGTGCGTGCTGTGTGTACATAGGTGTGTATGTGTGTGCTGTGTTTACATAGGTTTGTATGTGTGTGCTGTGTGTACATAGGTGTGTATGTGCGTGCTGTGTGTACATAGGTGTGTATGTGCGTGCTGTGTGTACATAGATGTGTATGTGTGTGCTGTGTGTACATAGATGCGTATGTGTGTTCTCTGTGTGCATAGGTGTGTATGTGGGTTCTGTGTGTTCATAGGTGTGTGTGTGTGCTGTGTGTACACAGGGGTGTGTGTGTTGAATGTATTGGTGCATATGACTGTGTTTTGCATGTATATATGGGTGCTGTGTTGCATATATACAGGAGTGTACGTATGTGTATGCATATATGCATGTGTAGGCTGCATGTATATAGATGTATGGGTGCTGCATGTATATGGGCATGCATATAGATGTGTGTTGCATGTATATAGCCGATTATGTGTTTTGTATGTGTATGTGTGTGCTGCATGTATGTTGCATGTATATAAGTGTGTGTTGCATGTATATAAGTGTGTATGCACTACATGCATATAGACGTTTATATGGTTTGCATGTATATAGGTGTGATGTGTGTGTGCACATCTGTTGCATGCATGTGTTGCATGTACATAGCAGTGCACGTGTCCTGCATGTATATAGAACTGTATGTCTATATGCTACATGTATATAAACATGTATTGCATGTATATAGCCTTGTATGTGTTGCATGCCCATAGGTGTATATGTGTACATGCTGCATGTATATAGATGTGTGTTGCATGCATATAGGCATGTATCGTACATACATAAAATACAAGCATGTATATACAAGCCTTGTGTATGTGTTGCATGTGTAATGGAGGGTATGTGTGTCTGTTGCATGTATGGGGGTGTGTGTGTTGCATGTGTATAGGTGTGTGTGTGCTGCATGTATATAGAGGTGCATGTGTCCTGCATCTTTATAGGAGTGTATGCGTGTATGCTACATGCGTATAAGCATGTATAGCCATGTATGTGTGCTGCATGTATACAGGAGTGTGTTGCATGGACCTAGGTATGTGACTGCCGCATGTATATAGGTGGGTGCGTTGCATGTATGTAGGCATGTACTACATGTATATAGCCTTGTATATGCATGCTGCATATACCTAGGTGTGCGTTACACGTACATAGGTGTGTTACATGTACCTAGGTGTGTGATACACATACATAGGTGTGTGTTGCATGTACATAGCTGATATATGTACATAGGCGTGTTACATGTACATAGGTGTTACATGTACATAGGTGTGTGTTACATGTACATACGTGTTACATGTATATAGGTGTGTGTTACATGCACATAAGTGTGTGTTACATGTATATAGGCATGTTACATGCACATAGGTGTTACACGTACATAGGCGTGTAACACGTACATGGGTGTTACATGCACATAGTTGTGTGTTACACGTACATAGGTGTTACATGCACATAGTCGTGTCTTACACGTACACAGGCATGTTACATGCACATAGTTGTGTGTTACACGTACACAGGTGCGTTACATGCATAGTTGTTTATGTACATAATCGTTACATGCACATAGTTGTGTGTTACATGTACACAGGCATGTTACATGCACATAGTCGTGTGTTACACATACATGGGTGTTACATGCACATAGTTGTGTGTTACACGTACATAGGTGTTACATGCACATAGTCGTGTGTTACACGTACACAAGCATGTTACATGCACATAGTCGTGTGTTACACGTACACAGGTGTGTTACATGCATAGTTGTGTGTTACATGTACATAAGCGTTACCTGCACATAGTTGTGTGTTACATGTACACAGGCATGTTACATGCACATAGTCGTGTGTTACACATACACAGGCGTGTTACATGCACACAGTCGTGTTACACGTGCACAGGCGTGTTACATGCACAGTCGTGTGTTACACGTGCACAGGCGTGTTACATGCACACAGTCGTGCGTAACACGTACACAGACATGTATGTCTTTCGCATGTACGCATGTGTGCCTGCGCCGCACGTACCCAGCCTCACAGGAGAGAGCATGCGCGCGGGCGGGGGGGCGTGGCCAGAAGGGGGCGTGGTCAGCCGCCGGTCCGCGCGTGCGCGCTCTCTCCCGCCCAAGCGGTGGAGGGGGGGCCCTGAGGTGCGAGCTCGCGCCTGCGCGGTGCCCGGCGCCCGAGCGGGACGGGCGAAGGAGGGGGGACCTTGGCGCATGCGCAGAGCGGGGGATGGAGGCGGTGGCGGAGGGGGGGTCAGGGGAGGTTGCGGGCGGCGCCTGCGCAGTGCGGCGGCCGAGTCAGTGTGTATGTGAGACTCTGACGGGTTCAAAATGGCGGCGGCGGCTTCTGTGTGAGGAGGGGAACCGCGTCCCGGCCGGGGGGGGGGGAGCGGCGGCGGGCGGCGGCGGCGGCACCGGGGCACGGCGCGGCCGGGGCAGCGCTGAGGCCGCCGCACGCCTGGCAGCCGGCGGCGGGGTGCGCTGCGCTGTGCGGCGGGGAGGGGACGCGCTGCCCGGCGGACGCGGCGCCGGGCCGGGGACCGGGGCCGGCGGGAGCAGGCAGCGGCCCGCGGCGGCCGGCGGGGCTGTCAGCGCACGGGCACCGCGCCGGGAGCCGCGGGCCACGGGGGGAGGCAGCGGCGGCGGGGCCGGGGAGGGGGGGGTGCGGGGAGGCGCGGCCGGCGGGCCGGGCCCGGGCCCGGGGCGCGATCGCTGCCTGACCGGGGCTTCCTCCTCCGTCTCTTCTGTTTCTCCCCGTCTCGGCGCTAGAAGAGGACAAAGGCGCAGGAGAGACCTGGTGAGCCGGGGCCGGGGCCGGGAGGGGATGGGGGGGGGGGGGGGGGGGGAATGGGGCCACCCCCGGCCGACCCCGAAGTTTCCGCGAGTCCCCATAGAGGGGCCGGGCGCTGGGTACCGGCCGCCTCCCACCCGGCCGGGGCAGCGGTCCCGGCGCCCGAGGCGCGACCCGGGGGCGGGTCTCCCCTTGCTGGCGGCCCCCGGGAGGGCCGGGTCGGGAAGTTGGAGGGGAGCGGGCGGGTCCCGGGGCGGGCGGGTGCCGGCTGACAGCTCCCCCGGGACCGGGGTCCTGAGGGCTTTCCCCCGCCGCTGCTTTGTTCGGCCGGGCCGGAGCTGCTTTTCTCCTAGCCCGGAGGACAAGGGGCGGGGGGGGTGGCGTGGCCGGGGGTGGGTTAGGTGTTGTGTCACACTCCGGGTGTTTATAAACAAGAGTTCGGAAGTATAAGGGAGCTGCCTCAGCCGCGCTGGGAAGTCCGGTCCCGAATGGGAAGGGCGATAGGGATGGGGAAGGATGCTATGGGATGTGAGCGGCTCCGCTGTCAAACCGTGCTCGGAGGGTCCGGGAAGGGCAAGATGGAGCAAGTTCTCTCCACGCTAGGGTAGCGGTTCTGTAACGCTTCACGGGGTGGGAAGGGGGGCAGATTCTTTGCCCGCAGGTCTGGTATAGGCATGGTGAATGGGATGAGGAGTTGCAATGTACCTGGGCTTTGGGTTCTTTTTGTCCCTTTACAAAGGGCAGGAAAAGTTGAGGTGCCATCAGATGCCTCGGGAGGCTTTGCTAAGTTCTTGTGCGGTGTCACAAGGTGGCAGGTTTTGAGATCTGAGTGTATAGGTAGGTCCTCTCAAGACAGGAGCTGCTCCCCTACCTGCAGCCCTGCTCGAGTGATGGGAGATGTTCTGTACCCGTGTGGCTTCTCCCAGGTACAGGATATGCAGGGGAGAGCAATGGTGTTTGGAGGAGTTGCTTCTCCAATGCCTCATCTTGTACTCCCTGATTGCTGTTGAGCGTTTGAGAGCAGCTTGCCTGCTCCATACCCCAACAGGGGCAAACTGAGCTGCCCCTGTGCTGGTGGTGGTGCAGAGCTGAGTCCTTTCTCTGCGCTCAGACCTGCAGCTCCTGTCGTGTTACAGAACAGCTGGTAAAGTCATTTACCCTGGGTCATGCCTAAAGTTAGAATGGGGGTGTTCAGAGTTGAGTTGGGCTCATCCACTGTGCTCTCTTAGCCCTGTGCAGGCTCCAAATGAGCAAAGAAATGAGGGATGGAGGAGTTTTATATCTGTGTGCCCTGCTTCACTCTTTCTCTTTACTCCCAAGGAGGAAGAGGAGGAAGACAGCAGCCCTGGAGTGTCCTTCTCCCTCTCTTCAGAAGAGTCAGAGATGGAGCCTGAGGAAGAACGGATCCGTTATAGCCAAAGACTGGTCAGTATTGGCCCCAAACAGTTCTATTCTGTGCTTGGTTCTGTTGCAACTGAAGAAAGAAAAGGTTTAAACAACTCAGACAAGTGTTGTGGTGGATCCCTGCAGCCAGAGGTGTCAGCTCAGCTGGTGGGGGTTTTGATGGCTTCATGAGTCTTTCCTGTGTCAGTTTGCCTTAATGAAGGGCACTTGGCTCCTGAGCTCTGGAAGAGGGTTGGAGGCTGAGGCTGGGTAAGAAGCTGTGGATAGAAATAGGAAGTGAGTGTTGGTGTAGTTTCTGGCCCAGCAGCTTTTCTCCATGTGTTTGTGACAAGCAGAGAAGCTGGAATACTGTGTGTGACCATTGTGTTGGCCTGGACTTGCTTTGATTGTGCTGTGAAAACCAGTTTCAGCTTCAAGCTCAGATGTGCCCCTGTCTTCTCCTGGTGTCCTCTTTGGGAAGGAGCTATTCCAAAAGCCAGGCCCTAGTTAGGCCCTGTCTGGATTGTCAGGGGCATGCATGAAGTCCATGGTCTGTGAGTTGGGCTGTAACCGTGAGCACTTTGGGAGCAGTTGCTCTGAGAGGACATTCCCAGAGATGCCATGGAAGGAGGGAAGCTGCTGTGTCTCCTGCAGGTCATTTTTGCCTTGTTTTGAGGCACTGTAAACCCTATGAGTGAGTGTGGGCTCAGTGATAGCCGAAGCTATGATGGAGCTCCTCTGTGAGTACATGCACCCTCACCTTCAAGGTGCTGCCTGTAAAGGCAAATCCTTATCCTTTAATACTCTGGAATCATTTGGTGTGAGGGTGTGTGGTACTCAGCATTAAGCTTTGCCCTCAAGAACAAGCACTTCCTATTGCTGCTGGGTGCCAGGCTGTAGAAAGGGTGCTGGGAGTTGTGGCCAGCACTCACGGGTGTCTTTAAGGATGGAAATCCTCTTGTGAGGGTAGAAATGGTTATTCCAGCACTGGCCCCTATGGAGAAGAATGTACATTGTAAGCTGTGGTTTGTCCAGACCTTATAGAAGGTGTGCTCTTTTACTGGTGCTGCTTGTTGGGTCCTTCAGGATCACTTGGATTTTCCCCAAAGTGCTTTAGTGGCTGTTCTAATTTGGCAGTGCCTCCAAAAGCAGCAGTTCCACCTCCTCCTGACACCCTTGTGCCCACCACAATTGTGTGGCACACAGTTCGACCTGCTGGTTTGCCTGGGGAGTGACTTGCTATAGGCAGCAGTCAGGAGGCAAGGCCAGCTCCAGATTTGGTTCAACTTCAGTTTTGGCTACACTTTGACCAGAAATAATTCAAAATAGCTAGATAAAGGCATGGCAAATGAAGGGAACCAGCAGCCAGGAACATGCTGATGTTAAAATGCTTGTCATATCACAACTAAAACTGCTCAGGAAGAGTTGCTGACCTGGTGTAGGTGGCCTGGACTGCAGCAGCATGTACTAAGCTGGATAAATGAGCTGCATGCTTAAGGGGCTTGGGAAGACACATGGGCAGCAAGCAAAGGATGAGGCTGACCTCGGCTTTGGTGGCCTTATGTGCGTGTTGTCTCTGCTGGCCTGTGGCTGAGAGAAAACACAGCCCCTGTGTGGTAGGTGAGGTTTGGTTCATGGCTCCTGCTTCACTCTTCCAGGGAACTTCCAGCTCATGCCATTCCCTTTCTGTATCAGTAACTTTCCCTTCTTCAAGAACCTTCAAAAGATGATTATTCCCTTCAAGACACATGCTTTGAAATGGGGGAAGCTCTTAGCTTGTTTCTGACCATTGCAGAACAAGATATCACAGGTGAATTACCCAGCAGGACAAAAGAGCTGAATAAGACTTATTTGAATATCCTACTCCTACACATGCTTTGGTTTTGGGAGTTGGCTTTAATATGCCTACATTAAAAGTTATAAGTAGGGAAACAGGTAACTGGTCGTACAGCATGTTGCTGTGTTTCTTGTATGCGAGTTCGAATCAATGCGGGGGTGACAGCAAAGGAATAAACCTATTTTGAAACGAAATCAAAAGCCAAGTGTGGTAGTTGTCCTGCCAGCCAAACAGCCTGGGCCAGAATGGTTTAGAGTGGTGAAGGAGCTCAATTCATTGCATGGGAAATGGTTTGATGATACCAGAGGCCTGAGATGGCAAAAGCAGTTTGTTATCTGCTGTGTCAGGGCACTTCCACCACCAGCATCTGTTGACTGACTGGTTTCCACAGCACAGAGGAGAAGTCTCGAGTGTTTTGTGCTACTGTTACCTTCCTCTGCTTCAACAAAAAGCTGATCTATGTCTGTTTTCTGAATGGGTTTACCAGTATTGGTGGAAGGTCTGGGTTTTGAAGAGAAAGTCGCCTCTGCTTTGGATGTAGTCACGCTCCTACAAGAACTCTGGCCTGGTTCACACATCCATGTGTAGTATAACACTGACATTAGGTGGGTCCCACTGCTTTAACTGTGCTTGCTTCCTAGTTCAGGCTCTCCATCCACAACTCCCAAGATTATAAAGGCCTGGGTGAGTTGGTTTGGATGTGGGATATCACTGGCAGTATGTCCTGTAGCCCTCTGAAATGAACTGTGGAAGGAGCTCTGAGAGGCTGACACAGGTAGGGAATGGCATCCTGCAGGTGATGCTGCATGAGCAGGGAGAGCAAGGAATGTCAGTGTTCCTCACCCAGAGATTCAGCTGGGCCTCCCTGCACTGTGAGTAGCAGAGGAGGGGACTTAACAGGCACCATGGAGTAGCTTTCTACCAAGTGCATGCATATTTCTGCATCCTCAGCTCTGTAAGAGGCAGTACTTTGGGGCTTAGTGTGAGGTGCTGGCTTTACAAGCTGTAGATGTGTTTTGCAGGCCCTTAACTGTGGAGCTGAAACGCTCTATTGTATCCTGTGCCCTGAGTGACAGTGCAGCCCTGGCACCAACAATGTGATGGTTCCTTTCTGGGCCTTAGAAGTCTTCTGCTGACTGTCACTGGTTGCATCGAGCCCGTGTCACACCAAGCTGTTCAGCTCCCCATTAGGAGGCTGAGGGCACGCTGGCACTTTGAGCAGGAGCCTGGACCTCTTCAAGGCAGGAACAGCAATGTGAGCAGCTCTGGCTGTGAACTAGCAGCTATGGGGAGAAGGAAGTTGGGTTGGTCTGGTGCTGTGATGCTCAGGTGCTCTGTCTGCTTCAGGATTGTCCAGCAGTGATTTCACAGAGTGCGTTGTCCACCTCGGTACTCACAAGGTGACCCGAGTCAGAGGAGGAACTGTTGCATGTGTGTAGCTTAGTTTTTTGCTAAGGTTAGATCTGTGTTAGGTCACTGAGCACAATAAGGGGCAGCAGGGAAAAGAATCTCCTGGTGCTGCCTTTCAGCAAACTGGTCCATCTCAAAGCTGCTATGAAGGGGTTATTTGACGCAGCACGTTCTGAAGATGCTTTTGATGTGCTGTAGGTGAGGTTGCCTCGCTGTCACAGCATGGGTGATGCTCTGCTGAGGACGGCTTTCTCATTTACTCCAGCCTTCACCACACACAAAGCCCCCCGACATGTCCAGATGTGTGTGAATTCATGGAGCTGCTGCAGGGCTTCTCAGTGGGATGTGGGGCTGGTGTCTGTAGCCACTGAGTATTCCTGGGTGCCACAAGTGTGAGGAAATGTTGCCTTCTGTCTGCTCCAGGCTACTTTTGCCAGGCCTTTACCGTGAACTAAAACTAGTCAGAATGTGAATTACGAGTTGGGATTAGCACATAGAGTCATGGAATGGTTTGTGTTGGAAAGGAGCTGAAAGCTCATCCAGTTCCAACCCCTGCCACAGGCAGGGACACCTTCCACTAGAGCAGCTTGCTCCAAGCCCCTGTGTCCAACCTGGCCTTGAGCACTGCCAGGGATGAGGCAGCCACAGCTTCTCTGGGCACCCTGTGCCAGTGCCTCAGCAAACATCACTGAAGTGATGCCAAACACTTCCAGAGGCAACACTGATGGGGAGGAATGAGGGGCAGCAGAGTTGTATCACTCCAGGATGGTTTGAGGGGAGCGTAGCAGGTGAATGCCATCACCCTAAGGACAAATCCTGCCCATCCTGGTGCCTCTGCTGCTGTCAAGTCAGCAGTCTGTATCTCAGGGTGTGGTTCCAGCATTGCTGGAGTGGCAGAGCTGGTTTAAGAGGTTTCCTCCCTCCCTTCCCTCCCTTAGTGCCTCAGGAGCTGATGCCCCTGAGCTAAATGCTCCTTCAGGGAGTTGTGGATCATGCCCTAGATAAAAGTTGGCAGCAGAGGGGGGCATCTAATCTAGATTGTCTGTGCTGTGCTATGAGCTACTGCCCCACCAGCCAACCTGATGAGAGTGGGGAGGTGGCAGCCTGAGACAGGGTGGCGTTGGAGCCTCTTCAGCTGGCTCTGCAGCTGCACCCTCCCTTGAGGCTCTGGTGCTCTCTTGGGGTCAGGCTAAGGTATTATAGTGCCTGGGCTCTTGACCATCACGGCTGGGTGCACTGGCACCCTTGTTTTGGTTGTTGGAGGTTGATGTGACACCCATGAAGGGCAGTGGGTCTGTGGAGGAGGAGACCCACCTGCTCTTAAGTGCTCTGGGTGCACATAGGAGACAAGGGATGGGGGGGGTGAAGTGCTGTCTCTCCCATTGCTTGGGGCCTTGTGTCCTGCCTTAGCACGGCCCTGCCTCTGGTCAGATCCTTGTGTGAAATCTGAGAGGAGGCCTCTGCCTGTCCCTACCAGCCAAAACCTGAGGCCTCTCCTGTAAACAGCACTGAGCAAACCTGTCCTTACATGTTGGTGTCCATGTTATCCCTTGGGCAAAGGCTCACATGAGCTTCACAGTACGTGGAGTCATCAGCTGAGGGATGAAGCTTCGGAAGCACGGAGGGAAAGGCTTCTCTCTCAGCCGTGTATGTAGTGGTGTGGAGTGGCCCCAGCACGCTCAGGTGAGGGAGACTAGGATTCTGATGTGTGCCTAGAGTCACAGTGACTTTCATCCTGTGGTTTTCCAAGTCATTTGGTGGTACCAAATCCTTTCTGCAGGATGGGGTGATGGCA